ATAATATAAGGGGATTATTGTGTAGTTTAAATTTGGATTCGTAATTTAAAATGTAAATAAGTAATTATTCATAACTTGCATGTCAATATTAACTTGGACGTAAATAGAATAGTCAATTATTTATTGTTTAATAAATAACTCAACTACTTAATTTATTGATTTGGATAGTTTATACAAAAATAAATTTATTTTAATTAATGAAACAATATAAATTACAATATTAATGATACTTATTATTCACATAGATTTTTAAACATATGAATTACCAGATAATTATTTTATGGACCACATTGTATTCAAATTGAATTTCTGAATAAAACTTTAAAATGACAATTATTTTGAAATGAATATAATGTAGTTTATTATCAGTTATGCCTACAGTACGGGTTGTGTACTAACTTTAAACAAACATGTTTAATGTAATTTTGCACAATTTAATCGATATAACATTTTAAATAACTTAATACAGATAAATTATATTGCATATTGATTCTATAATTTTAATTTATATATATTATTTAATGTTTACCAATATTAATAAAAATATCTTACCCGTGCATCGCACGGGATTCGTACTAGTTAACTCTAACAATAGACTAGTAAAAAAATATTTTTGCAAAATAAATAAAAGATTCAATGCATCATAGATATTGGTGACTTTTAAATAAAAGCAGCATAGCTGGGGTGCTCCATCACTTCACCATTGAATACAACCCACAAAATTCAACTACACCATTGAATACTCTCTGCTCTGGGCAGAAATCAATTGATAATCTCCACACGCAATGACGATTTGATTGAGCCCATTTGATTGAAAATCTCCACACGCCATGCCAGAGGAAACCAAAGCCAAAACAATTGGGAGTAAGCGACGGAGAGAAGAAGAGGAAACCAAAATAATTGGTAGTAAGCGACGGAGAGAAGAAGAGGAAGAAAAGGAAGAAGAGGAAGAAGAGGATTCTGGTGAAAACATAATGGCGGTGAGTTTAGCAAATTTGATTAGTAAATTTTCATAATTATTTTCAAATATGAATTCACACTAGCATTAAGGATTTCTCAGTAACATTGGCAATTAGGGTTTGTTTATTGCTGGCTTAGTTCAGTAACATTGGCAATTAGGATTTCTCACACTAGCATTAATGATTTCTCACATTACCCTGATTATTTGCTCTAGCATTCAGTAACATTGTGGGTAAGAAACCATGTGACAGTGTAAGTAGGCAAAATAACAATAATAATAAAGTTTAAGGTA